TAGAAGGAGGCTGAGGGGGATTCTAGGAAACTGGTAATGTTCTGTTTCTTAATCTGGGTGCTGGTTATGTGGTGTATTGATTGTGGAAATTCACCAAGCAGTACACTCATGACTTGTGCATTCAAAAAAAGAAAAAGAATTAGAGGCATTACAGTTTATAGGGATTTCAACAAAGTAATGCTGGTTGAGAAAAGCAGAATGCAGAGAATTATGTATACTAAAATCTTATATTTATACAGCATACAACACCACCACCACCTTGATTATGTATTACTGGGTATGTAAATACATGCATATATGAGGACATATATAGTTCTGTATAGGTTTATTTAGTATAGATAAAAATATATAAAGCCATATAGTAAGTTAACATGGCTTCCCTAGGTGAGGGGGAAGGGATGATCAGGGTCATACTTATGTTGGGGGAAGAAAGGTAAAAGGAAAAAAATGTTCCCTTGTTTTTTTTAAAAACATGTATAATACAATTCCATTTATGTAAAAAAAAAAAGACCTCAGTATTAAAGAAGAAAATTATTTAGAAATAAGTTCTACCAAAGTTTAAAAATTGAGACACAGTAAATGACACATGTTGCATAATTCAAGCACCATGGCATGTTATGAACACTGTCCAGGTAAACATATGAAGTCTCAAGCTTATTAACAGATAGCAGTGGATATAAAAATTCTATTTATCAGCTTCTAGCAATATGGACGACTCAGACAACCTGAAAAGTCTTCTACTATCATCACCTAGAAGTACTGGGTAACATGTAACATAATTACATTTAAATGTACAGCTAGGCTCACAATAATAAAAGCAAATCCCCAGGTGCCAGAAACAAAAGAGGGAAGTGAAAAAGGAGAGTGGTGAGTGCTTGAGCTAATGGGGGTATTTGTCTCCAGAACATAGGGGTTCGGTGTTAATTCACACAGGGGTAGCAAGCTAAGCTTTGGAAGGTAGGGAATTGGAACTGAGAACTGTATAAAGCCAAGACCCGCAAAGGTCTATTCTATTTATGAAATGATTTAAAAACAAGAGAGACCACAGGACACAGGCTTTGGGTGAGAAAAATAGAAAAGCTCTCTGAGAATTCAAAACCACAAGACCACAATTCACATTACTTTTACTCTACCCACATAGTTCAGAATTCCAGACTAAAAAGTAATGGAAGAATTATTCCTCAAACAGTAATACTCCTGAGACACAAAGCAGAAGCAAACAAAAAACTTCTCTGAAGAGATGCTCCCACATCCCAAATACCATGGGGTTTTCACAGAAAAAACTACAAGCCTTGCGAATAATAAGTTCACAATAAAAAATGGCAAAGCCATGAGTGAACAATCCAACTTGTTCAAGTCTTCACATACAACAAACATACAATTATACCCCCATGAAGTCCAAATACAGAGAGATAATCAGAAAGAGATTATAAAAGAAATACACATAAAATGACTGAAGACTAGAAAGGAAGCAATCAAATCCTAATAGAACTAAACCCTATAAAAAAAAAACAGAACTGAAAAAAAAAGAAAAACCCCATAATGTATCTTGCAATAAATCTTTTAAAAAGATTACAATAATGATACTGAGAAATTCTTCATTAAAGATCATTAAAGACTAAAGTAATTGGAAAAAACACACCATGCTAATGCATAGGAGGATTAAATATAGGAAAGACGCCAATTCTTTCCAGATTAATCTATAAATTTAATGCAGTCCCTATCCAAATCCAACAGGGGGTTTCACAGAATCAACAAGCTGATTCTAAAATGTGTGCAGAGGACTAAAGAACCAGAGGAATTTTGAAGAAGAATAAAGGTGGGGGAGGGAAGGGACTCATAACACCAGATATCAGACTACTGTAAGCTATGGTATTTAATACATGAGGTATTTGTGAGAGGGTGGACCGATGGAGCATAACAGAGAGCCTAGAAACAGTTTACTGTATGACAGAGGTGGCATTCCATATTAGTGGGAAATAATGAAGGAATAAGTGGTGCTTACACATCATACCCCAAAATCATTTCCAGTGGATGAAAGAGCTAAATGCTCTTGAAAAGCCAAATTTTAAAAACTTTTGGAGAATATAGTCGATTCTCATTATTTGTGGTACTTACATTCTATATAATCACTACAACCACTGAATTAGTGCATACGGAAGCATCGCTCCTCAGGGAAATACAGGGTTTGGGTCCTTGCGAGCCTATGGTCACAACATTTCCGTCAGCCAGTCAATAACATAACGTTGTTTTATGTGTGTTTCTCTTTAAAGACACCTCATTTAATATATACCATTGATTCATTAACACCGAACCCACAGCTAGCAGCACTGTAACTCAGGCCTAAGCAAAGCTTATCTAATACACGTACTTTTTCTTCTTAAAGCACCTCACGGCCTTCGTGCACTTAGGAACACCTGAAAGCACTTAAGCACCACAGCTGAGGCTATTCCGAACAGCAAGATCACCAACAGAAAGCACAAAAATGCAAAAAACATGGCACTAAATACACCTCAAGAAGATCACTTGTTTACAGTATGAGAGCTGATACAAGAAAGAAGAACGTTGCCCTGTCCCACCTCAGCTGAGGGAACGCGTGCAACTCAAGATATGCACTCCTTTGCACATAATTAATAAGCACCATAAATACTCATCCTGGGTTACAAGTAAATTTTAGCGAGTAGGTGAGTTTGCTAATATGGAATCTGCAAATAATAAGGAGCAACTGTATCTTTATGATATTTCCAGAGTTAGAAAGGATACTTTTGTTCTTGGACAAGATGCAAAAAGTACAAATTATAAAGGAAAAAACTGACAAACTGGATAAATTGAAATTTAAAACTTCTGCTTGAAAATATATGTCAAAAGAAAGTGAAAAATCAAGTCACAAACTGAGATAAGGTATCTGCTTCCCAAATAAAGAACAGAGTATTAGTACCAAGAAGGGTTTTAAAGTTCCTAGAAATCAATAAGATAAATAGCTATTAGGAAAATGAGCTAAGGATAACAAACATTTTCTTAGAAGAAAATGGACCCACAAACTAATGAAAATATGCTCAATCTCATTTGTAATAAAGAATATAAATTAAAAACAAGATATTTCACAACTCTCTCTCTCTCTATATATATATACACACATACTTAGTAAAATTGAAGTGTGGTTAAGCACAATTCATGTGTCAGGCATAAATTTTACAACATTAAATGACAATCTGTAGTAAAATCAAACTACATTTTTAAAATTCCCAACAAAGGATATAATTCATTTCATAGATTAGAAGCCCAAGGGAGAAAACGAGAGCTGCAGAACGATGCAGGAGGATAAATAACCAAATGATATTCAGGAAGCAACAAAAAGACACATCCAGTACTGCCAGAAATTGGACATTTCTTAAAACCACTATTCCGGGATTATCAGTGGATTTTCAGGTGAGATAAACAGGGCAGAAGCTCTGCGTGTCAGGCTGTACACATTCACAGCCCTCATTTTTAAGATTCTGTTCTTCTGGAACCACTCTCAGTACCAAATTGTGTATCAGTTAGGGTTCAACTAGAGGCAAAAACCAGTAGGAGATACATATGTGTGTGTGTGTACACAAAAAAAAACAGTAGAAGTGGTTTATGCAAATGAGGGAACTGGTTTTAAGCCGGCTCTGTAAGGCTGCCGACACCATACCTGATTCTGGAGCTCGGAGTCCACAGGGCAGGCAGTCAGGCAAGATCAGGAGCAGGCTCACACCCACAAGCACAAGCTGGCACCCCATGAGAAGAGACTAAAGCCTGAGTCCATTCTTATCGGCTCTGGCCTTGGCGGCGAGGTCAAATCTGCAGACGCCAGGGTCCTCCATCATGGCGCTAAATACACAGCCTGGCCCGGGAATCACATCATGGCGCTAAACACACACACCTGGCCTAGGAAGCCAGGGGAACGTGGAGCAATTGCAGGCCTAGCTGCCGCTTCACACCAACAAGGTGAATCAGCAGTTCACCCACACAGCATGTGGGAGCTACACAATGGTTGCTGCTTCTCTTTGCCTTCCAAATCTCTCACGAATCTCTACTGTGGCCCACCTTAACCAGAAACATACAAGAAAGGGAATTCTGAGAAACGTAGTTCAGCCTAACCAAACCGACACATTCTTTAATGGTTACGTGTCTCTTCAGACCCTCCTTTCATTGTCAAATTAGCTTTAGTAAATTATGTTTTTCCCTAGGAAAATTATGCATCACGAACAGAGAATGTAGTATCTTTGATACTGATTGCTTGCTATTTGAAATGTTTTATGGTCTAAAACATGATCAATTTTTATAAATGTTCCTTCCATATGTGCTTGAAAATAATGTGTACTCTCTAAAACTGATTGCAGAGTATTACATATAGATACATGATCAGGTGGATTAATTGGGTTGTCCAATCTTCTATACACGAATTTTTAATTTACATGATTACTGACAGAGGTATATTAAAAATCTCCCTGTATCAATTCTTCTAGTAGTTGTCAATTTCTGCATTATCAACTTTAAAGCTCTAAGTTAAGAGATGCATATAAGTTTATAACTACTATATCTTCCTAGTGAATCATTCCTTTCAGCATTCAGTAATGACCTTTCTTTCTATTCCTAATGATATTGTTCTTTGCCTTAAAGTCTATCCTGTCCAAAGTTAACATTGTTATGGTTTTAATTATGCTCTCTTTTCCTGCGGCAGGGGTTTCTTTTACTTACTTACCAGCTCAGCTATGCATTTTTAAAAAGCTGTTTGTTACGTTTGATCCATTATTTCTGGAGTGTGTAGCAGGCAGGGTTGCAGAATATCTAACCTGGCATCTTGATAGATCTTGAAGTTCTCAAGCTTAGGGAAAAAATGACACCTATACTCACCTTGAAACAGAAATCTCTTAATATGTTTGATATGCAGTCAGAATAGCAGAATAAATTGCACAATGGATGCATAACCAAGGCCCCATCTTACCAATGAAGGTATCAGACCATATTAATTATAGGGCTCAATCTGAATGTATCTACTTTCTATCTCCAACAGATAAGAAAAAAATATGCTTTTTGTAACAATACATTCCCACAGCTGGCCCCAGGATTCTGATATGGCGCCCATCTCTGAAGGTTGGTTCCCCCCAAATTGAGAATCACTGGTTTATTCTATCTCCAAGGAAGATTACAGCTTAAGGATGGAAATATTTTATTCCATTAACAGTTTGGTATTCCTCCTTCCATCCCTCAGCCCCTCACAGATGTTGCACTTTCCTCTGGTGCTCTGTGGGTTCCTTTCAATATGTTTCCAAACAGCTAGGTAGCATCCAAGAGACCAATGCTACGGTCAAACCTAGTTTCTATCTGTGTATGGGTCCCACCACTGGAGTCAAATCCTACCAGCTGATATTTAACCTAGTCTTACCCATAACAGCTTACTGGGGACTTTCAATACCCACACTATACATCTGCTTGTGTCATGCGGGGTCTACTTTGTCTACTACTTACTATGAATTTTAAGGGTTGTAGCAAAGATTATGTCAGTGATTTGGGCCTAATTGTTTATAAGGAGCAAGCCCTAATTCTTGTTAAGCAAGCTTGGTATCTGATTTGCTCAACTTATCAAATTTATGCACTACATAGAAAGCCTTTAAAAACTCATTGAAGTCAATGCTTCCATCTTTGTTTAAGTCCATCCTTTCGGCGAGCTCATCAAATTGGGAATCATCAATACGAACGCTGTAGTGACTTTTGAAAAGTTTCCACATGCTACGAAATTCTTCCATGGAGATCAGGCCTAAAAGAATATAGGAGAAGGCTGTGAGTGTTTATTTTAAGGCCCCCTCAGGGAGGGGTGGGGAAGCCATGCTGATTGAATAGTCCCAATTAGAAGCTCACTCACATGCCTGATCGTCAAGACATGGAAGGAAATGGAAAAGTAAGATTGTAAAAATAAGAAACAGTATGTCACTTTCAACTACCAAGTGATCCTAAAATTATTTTAAGGCTGGAATGAGTAAACAGGGAAGGAATCGGGGGAGATGGCAGACTGTGGGACTATATATAGTGTAGAAATTACAAGATCTAAAATCTAAGGGAGAAGGACATGGAAGGAAGGCAGAGAGGAGAGCTACATCAAAGCAGAGGGAGAATAAACCCCGGACTCAGTAAGAGGTTTGCAAACAATGGCTTTGCCATTTTGTTACAGGCAATAATTTACTTCTGTGTTTTGATTATTGATTTTTTTGGTGTTCAACAGTCTCTGCAGTTGGGGATTATTTAATGTTTTTTTTTAAGTTTGAAAATAAATAATTGTGCATCAAAGCTAAGCAGAAAATTAGTTTTCATAGTGCTCAGTCTCCAAAACAGAATCAGAACTCTAGGGATGATTTGCATTTGTAGGAATAACAATTTTGAAATGGACAGTGAATTATCTTTTCATCTGTGTGGGTGATTTATAAAAGGGGCTAATCTTGTCTGGCTAATGGATACTTAAGCCTATACCACACAGAATTGAATACAGAGTTTGTGGATAAACTTAAAAAACAGAAACATTAAACATGAGTTTATCCCCACTCCACCTCGTGTTAAATCAAGTTTGGATGAAGAATGCAATGGATGAAAACAGAGTTCTGGTTTCAGAGAAACAGACTAGCCTTTGCTTTCTACTGCTACTGAACCAATCAAAGTGAATTTACCTGAGTGATCCGAGTCAATGACATTAAAGATGATTTGCAGGTCAGATCGGTATCTGTACACTGTTTCAATTAAAGTAGACTGAACCTAAAATAAAGAAAGTGTTAAAACACACACAGATCAATTTTAGTAAAAGTAACAAGCACACAATGTGGTAACCAATTGAAATTATGTGATTTAAATAGAAATTTGAAAAGGCAGGCCTTCTTTGGAGGCCCAACTCTCTTAAATCAGATAAAAGACCATGCTCTTGTGTTCTGAAGAGTTTGTAGTCTCTGTTCTTCAGGGGACAGGGCCAAAGCGATTCTGGAAGCAGTAAATAATAATAGCAAATATTTACTGAGAACACCTGTGTGCCAGGCCCTGCACTGAGAGCTTTCTGTGGATTATTTCATACAGTCCTCCACAACAGCCCAACGAACAGAACTATTATTATGCCCATTTTACAGATTGGAAAGTAGAGGGGTAAAGTAAATTTTCCAAGGTCCACATAGCTGGTAAGTGGGATTTGATTCTTGGCCTGAAGCCAAGGTTTACGAGCTTAGTCACCACAGTAAACTGTCTCTCAAGTGAAGCCAAAAGCCTCCTTCCTGTGGCTATTTTAGTCTCCTACCGGCACTTTTACTTCCTTTCTTAACTTCCCAGCTTAGCTTCCCAGCTCCCCTGCAAACAATCACCCCAGACCTAGTTCCCATCAGCTCACTTTCAGCCCACTATTATAACTAACTGCTGAGGAGTTGTTAACTAATAAGTTCCAGGGAGTCTGACAACTCTCCCTGGGGTATTCCCATTTTAATAAGGGATTCTAAATTTTAAAATTCCTTAAGGTATAAGATGTCATATCAGTAAGTCTATATTTACTGACAGTCAATAGAAATATGTTGAGTATTTTAAAATGGTATATTATATGAAAGAATAGATGTTACATCTGGCCTTCTGCAGGACAGCACTTAACAATCACATAGGTGACATGGATTTGCTTGCAGAAGGTTTTTCTTCCTTTCCATTTTTGCCTTTCCTTAGAATGCACAAATTTCCTCAACAGGCCACAATGGACCTGGGGGAATCCCCCTTAGGCCTTTCCCAAGACTGCCACACCCCTCCATTAGGTGATTCCACTCCCAGCTTTTCAAGGACTAAGTAACTCTTATAAGTCGTCCAAAGGGTGTTTTGCTCCAGCCAGGTTTTAGCCAGGGCTGTGTTTCACTTGCCTCTTTCACAGGTTTTTGAATGTGGATATCCTGGAAGCTGGACATGTAGTCAGTATTTCCATCTTTGTCTGTAGTAACCAGATGCAAACTCAGAGATCTCCATGGTAAGTTCAGCCCCAAAACGTTCTCCATGGAAAAAGCCCACTGGCTCATAGAAAGTTTTCCTAACAACAACAAAGCCCATATAACTGGTTGATAATCTAATAAAGAAATGCAATCTTGACTGAACAAGTGGATAGCCTGGGTGCCTCTGCTCTTGTTTAAGATCTGTCCTGCCAGGCCCCATGGCTCTGAGGGAGGAATAACCAAAGAAAGTCTTTGGGGTTCCACAGATCTTTCCCTTACTGTTATATGTAAGCAATCAGACTTTGGGTGTGATAGATTTTTTTTTCTTTTTTCTGATTAACAAAGTAAGGTATATTTATAATATACGATTTGAAAACACAAAAGGATATAAAGGATAAAAGATCACTTTTATTTTTAACATTTTGGCATATTGTCTCACCTCTCATCCCAAGTAATATCCTTTAATCACCTAATATTATATGTAGTTTTTAAAAATATAAATACTTTTCCCAGAACAGATGAAAGACTCAATTTCTTTAAGCTTTGTTAAGTGGTGAATTACACTGATTGATTTTCAAATGCTAAAACAACCTACAATTCCTAGTGTTCCTAGAATAAACTAAACCCTGTTGTGATACATTAACCTCATACTATTAATTTCATCTAGGATTTTTTTCATCTAAATGTATAACTGATACCATCCTTTAATTTTCCTTTTCCATAATGGTCTTGTTAGGTTTTGGTATCAGGATTACACTGACCTCCTAAAATCATCCTGAAAGTGTTCCCTCTATTTCTAGGAGTTGGTGTGACACTGGTTTCATTTCTTTCTTAAACGTATGTTGTAATGGCTAATGAAGTTATCTGAGCTCAGAGCTTTCTTCGGGGAAAGTTTCAAAATTTCAGATCCAGTTTCTTTAATAGTTATAGGATTGTTCAGATTTTCTATTACTTTTTGTGTCAATTTTGATAAGTGTGCGTGTGTGTACATATATAGTTTAGGAATCTGTCCATTTAATCTAAAGTTTCCTTTCATTAGCATAAGAGTTTCCATAATACATCTTATGATCTTTTCAATATTTGTAAAGTCTGTAGTAATGTCCCCCCTTTCAATCTGGTGTTAGTTATTTGGTCTCTCTTTCACTCCTCATGAGGGTTTTATCAACAGTTTCTTCAAAGAACCACTTTTTTTTTTACTTTGTTGACCATAGTTTCACCTTTTAAAATATATACATATAAGGTTATAAATGCCTCTCTAATTTCCATCCCATAAGCTTTGATATGCACTTTCATTATTCAGTTTCAGCACTATAATTTCTTCTTTGATCCAACAGTTATTTATAAGTGTATTTCCCATTTCCAAGGCCAAGGAGATTTTCTAGCTACCTTATGTTATTGAATTTTAGCTCAATTCACTATATCAGAGAATTTATTCTGTATGTTTCCAATACAAAATTTGTTGAGATTTGCTTTATGTTCCAGTTAATGGTCAATTTTTGTAAATATTCCATTTGTGCTTGACAAGAATGTTTATTGTGCAATATTGGATGCAGAGTTCTATAGATGTCTTTTAAGGAAAGTGTGCTAATCTTTTTGTTTGTTTATTCTTTCAGTTCCTGAGAGAGGAGTATTAAAATCTCCCACTACGATGGTAGATTTTTCTACTTCTACTTGTTCAGTCCATTTTTGTTTTACACATTTTTGAAGAAAGCTACATTAATAGGTGCATACACATTTATTCATTAAACACAATTTTATCATTAAAAAGTGGTCCCTTTATATTTCTAGTAATGTATATATCTCCTTGAAGTCTACTTTGTCTGATATTAATAGAGCTGTTCCCACTTTGTTAGTATTTTCATGTTGTATCTTTTCCTAAATTTTATTTTCAGTGTTTTACACAGATCTTCCTTGACTTAAAATGGGGTTACATTCTAATAAACCTACCATAAGGTGAAGATATCATAAATAAAAACTGCATTTAATACACCTAACCTAGCGAATAGCTTAGCTTAGCCTAGCCTAACTTAAATGTGCTCAGAACACTTACATTAGCCTAGAGTTGGGCAAAATCATCTAACACAAAGCCTGTTTTATAGTAAAGTGTTGACTATCTCATGTAGTTTATTGAATACTGTACTGAAAATAAAAGACAGAATGGTTGTATGGGTACATAATGGTTATAAGTATATTGGTTGTTTACCCTCATCATCTTGCGACTGACTGGGAGCTATGCTCACTGCTACTGCCCAGCATCATGAGAGAGCATCACACCACATACTGCTAGTTTAGGAAAAGATCAAAATTCAAAATTCGAAGTATGATTTCTACTCAATCCCTATGGCTTTCTCACCATTTTAAAGTAAAAAAATCGTTAAGTCGAACCATCATAAATTGGGGACCATCTGTGTCTATGATTCCACTGTCTACTGGCTTCTGTTGCAACTGTTGAGAAGCCTGATGTCACTATAATTGTTGTCTCTGTAGCAATGTGTATTTCCTCTGCTTGCGTTTAAGATTTTCTCTTTGCTGTTGGTGCTCTGCAGTTTCACAAGTGTGTGTGTGGGTGTGAATTTAATTTTATTTATCCTTTTGAGAATCACTATTCCTCCTTATCTGTGAATTTGAGCCTTTCATCAGTTCTGAAAAAGTCTCAGCCATTATCATGTCAAATATATGCTCTCTTACATTCTCTCCTCCTGGGACCCTGATTAGATATATGTTAAACTTCCTAATTTTACTGCCCATAACTCTTAATCTTTCTAATTCTTTTTTAAGCAGTGTCTAATCTTCTGTTTAACCCACTCATTATATTTTTTAACAAGTCATTGTATATCTATATAAAATAAAAATGGTTCTTCTTTAAACCATTTTTCAAATGCATGTTTATGATTTCATCCTCATTTCTTTAAACATTTTCTTAGTAATTTTAAAATTTTGTATTTGATAATTCCAATATCTGATGTCCTTGGGAAACTAAATCTGTTTCTTCTTGTTTCTGCTGACTCTCACTCATGGTAGCCTGTCTCCTTGTTTGTTTGGTGATCTTTGGTTGTAAACTCATGTTAGCTGATCTTAATCTCTGGATATACTAGTGGCCAAAATTAGGGATGCTTCCCATGAAGATGTATTTGCATTTTCTTGCCAGGAGTCACGGGTACTTCAGACCTAGGACTACTTTAGCCACTTCGAGGGTCTAGGCTTAATGTTGGAAGTCTCAAAGTCAGCTTATCCATCCTTCTGCTATCCTATGGTTTAGTCTCAGGATAATTGCTACACCAATATTAGCATTTGCCCCCAGGACAATCTAGCCTTTTGTGCTTGCTTGCTGCTCCGTGCTCCCACATGTGATTTCAAAAATCTTTTAATGGGGAGAGGAAATGCAGCCTAGAGAGTTCTCTTACCGACAGGCTGGTAAATTCATTAAAATTCTGTATCCTCTAGAACGTAGCTGTTTCTTAACAGGAGGGCCTTCCAAGGTGTCTAGTCTGACATACTACCAGAATAGAAGTCTAATTTAGGGTTGTTGTTGTTTATTTTAAGTTGAAATAAGCTTACTGAAAAGGAGGAATATGCTTTTTTCCAAGCATATAATGGATTATATTTTACTTTTATCTCTATCATTCTTTGCTGGTAAAAGTAGAAAACTGAAATCTTAAGGAAGCAAAGAAAATAAAAACTAATCGGTACGTAACCAGCTATGTTAAGAAATGGTAAGCATTACATAATTTTTTTTTTACCTGATTTATTGCGGTCTTGAAGTTGGAAAGCACGAATGAGGTCAGTTTTTCGTGAAATCATTCTCTCTTTTAACATCCTGATGGCACTACTTTCAATAGCATTCACCCTATGTTAAGAAAACAATGATTAGGTGAAAGTTATATAAACCATACTGTTCTGTTTCATTTTAATATGCTTTTTGCCACTTACCAGTTTCTACATTAAAGGGATTGCCTAACTTCACACATATTTCCAGGTGGTGAATGTGTTTATATGTATGCATGTGCATGTTTTGTGAAATTTTAAAAGGATTACCACTGGTCTTTTCTTTATGATTTCAAAGATTCATGTGAGCAATTAGTGTCTGAGAATATCCAAGATAAAAAGGAAAATAAAAAGGGACTTTCTATAGCAGATATTGAAAATTACCTTAAAGTTACTTAAACAAACAGCAGATATTGACACAAGAGAAGATAGATACATACATGAGTAGAATATAATAGAAATTTCATAAATTTAGTGAACTATATCTGGGAATAATACACATGACAAAGGAGGTATTAAAATTCAGCAGAAAAGGACAATTTTGAAAAATAGTGCTAGCATAATTAACTAAATGTCTGGATGCTAAACTTCTACCTCAGACTACTAACAAAAATAAATTCAAAATAAAGGAAGAAAGAGGAATAAAGTAGTCATGAGTCACATACATCCCAAAAAAGCAAAATGGCGGATGTAAATCCAACCACATCAATAATAACATCAAATGTGAATGGATTAAATAAATAAAAAAGCAGAGATTTTGAGACTGGATTAAAAACATAAGACCCAACTATATGTTGTCTATAAGAGACACACTTTAATTTCAAAGATACAAAGAGTTTGAAAGGAAAAGGTATAACATGCAAACAGCAACCATAAGAGAGTGGCCATACTAATAGCAGACAAAATATACTTTAAAACAAAAGCTGCTATTAGAGATAAATAGGAATATTTTGTAGTGATAAAAGAACCAAGTCAAGAAGATAAAACAATTATAAAACATATATGAACCTACTGACAGAGCCCAAAACTACATGAAGCAAAAATGGAAAGAAGTAAGGGGGGGAAATAGACAACTAAACAATAATCATTGGGGGCTTCAATGCTTTACGTTCAATCACGGATAGAACAACTGGGCAGAAAATCAAAATGGATATAAAAGACTTGAATAGCATTATGAACCAACTAGACCTAACAGATTTGTATAAAACACTCCACTTAACACCAGCAGAATATATATTCTTCTAAAGCACACATGGAATATTCTCCGCAACAGACCCTATGTTAGGCTATAACATAAGTCTCAACAGATGTAAAATGATTAAAACCATACAAAGAATCTTTTCTGACTACAAAAAAAAAAACCTGGAGATTAATAACAAAGAAATTAGGAAAATCACAAATATGAGGAAATTAAACAACACAATCCTAAATAACCAATGGGTCAAAGAAAAAAATCACAATAGAAATACAAAATACTTTAAAACGAATGAAAATGTAAACACAACATGGCAAAACATATGAAATACAATTAAAGCAATGCTTAGAGGAAAATTTTTAGCTATAAATGCCTATATTAAAAAAGAAGAAAGATATCAAATCATAAACATATTATCTATCTTCAAAAACTAGAAAGAAAAGAGTAAACTAAAACCTAAAGCAAACACAGGGTAGAAGTAATAAAGAACAGAGAAATAAATGAAATAGAGAAATTAAAAGAATAGAAAAAAATTTAATTGGTTCTTTGAAAAGATCAATAAAATTGACAAACTTAGCTAGACTGGCCAAAAAAAAAAAAGATCCAAATTTCTAAAATAAAATGATTCTAGAAAATCAAAAACAAAAGAGGGGTCATCACATCTGACCTTACAGAAATAAAAGGGATTATAAGGGAACACTATGAACAATTGTATGCCAAAAAATTAGATAACCTAGATGAAACGGCAAATTCCTATAAAGATACAAATGACCAAAATTGGCTAAGAAGAAGTAGAAAACTGAACATAGCTGGAACAAGGAAAAAGATTGAATAATTAATCAAACAACTTCTCACAAAGAAAAGCTCAGGACCAGATGGCTTCACTGTTGAATTCTACCAAACATTTAAAGAAGAACTGACACGAATCATTCACAAACTCTTCCAAAAAATAGAAAAGGTAAGAATACTACCCATCTTTTTATATAAAGTTAGTACTACACCATGATACCAAAACCAGACAAAGATCGCAAGAAAACTACAGCCAATAACTCTTATGAATATAGATGGAAAATCCTCAACAAAATACTAGCAAACTACATTCGGCAACATATAAAAAGAGTTATACATCATTAACAAGTGAAGCAAGATTTATCCCAGGAATGCAAGGTTTAATATCTGAAATTAATCAAGGACAAAATCCACATGATCATTTCAAAATATTCAGAAAAAGTATTTGACAAATTCCAACACTCTTTATGATAAAAACAGTCAAAAAACTAGGCATGGAAGGGAACTTTCTCAACCTGATAAGGAGCATCTACAAAAAACACATAACTAATATACTTAATGGTGAAAGAATGAATATGTCTCTTTTGAGATCAGAAACAAGACAAGGAAATCTGCTCTCAGCACTTCTATTCAATATTGGTCTGGAGGTTCTAGCCAAGCAGTTAAGCAAGAAAAGGAAGTAAAAGGTATCCAGATTAGAAAGGAAGAAGTAAAACTATCCCTATTCACAGATAATATAATCTTGTATATAGAAAATCCCATGGAATCCACTAAAAACTATTAGAACTCTGTATAACAACTATACTTCAATTAAATAATAAATTTTAAAAAACTATTAGAACTAATAAAGAAGTTCATTAAGACTGCACAACATACAAAAATCAACTGTATTTCTATACACTAGAAATGAAAAATCCAAAAATGTAATTAAGAAAACAATTCTACTTACTGTATCACCAAAAAGGAATAAAATATTTACAATATTTACAAATGAACTTAACAAAAGAAGTCCAAGACTTGCACCTTGAAAACACAAAATATTTTTCAAGGAAATTAAAGAAGATCAAAATAAAAACAATAATATAGATTGGAAAATGTAATACCGCTAAGATGGAAATAGCCCCAAATTGATCTACAGATTCAAAATAATACCTATCAAAATCCCAGCTAGCATTTTTTGGAGAAGTTGACAAGCTGATTCTAAAATTCACATGGAAAATAATCTTAAAAAAGAACCAAGTTCAACTCACATTTTCCCATTTCAAAACATACCAAAAAGCTATAGTAATCAGGACAGTGTGTTATTCACATTAGGATTAGACATACAGGTCAAGGGAGTACAATTTAAAGTCCAGACATAAGCCCCCACATTTATGGTCAATTGATTTTTGAGAAGTGTGCCAAGATAGTCAAGTAGGGGAAGCACAGTCTTTCCGACTGATGGTGCTGGACAATTGAATATGTACACACGTAAAAGAATAAAATTAGACCCCTACCTCACACCATATATAAAAATTAACTCAAAATGGATCAGATACCCAAATGTAAGAGAATAATCTATAAAAATAATCTATAAAATTCTTAGATGAAAATATAGGAATAAGTCCTCATGACTCTGAGTTAAGCAATCATTTTTTAGATACAACACCACAAGCAGAAAAGCAAAAATAGATATATTGGATTTCATCAAAATTTAAAACTTTTGAACTGCAAATAATACCATCAAGAAAGCAAAAAGATATCCCACAAAATGGGAGAAACTATTTGCAAAACATATATCTAATAAGTGACATGAATATAGGATAAATAATTAACTTTTACAATGCAATAATAAAAAGAGTAATAACTCAATTAAAAATATTTCTCCAAAGAAGATATACAAATGTCCAATAAGCACATGAAAAGACCCTCAATATCACTGGTCATGAAGGAAATGCAAACCAAAACCAAGAGATTCTAGCTTACATCCACTAAGTTGGCTATAATCAAAAAGACAGATCATAACAAGGGTTGTCAAGGATGTGGAGAAATTGGAATCCTCATACATTGTTGGTGGGAATGTAAAATTGTGCATCCACTTGGGAAAAAAAGCTTGCAAGCTCCTCAAAATGTTAAACATAAAGTGACCAGATAATCCAGCAATTCCACTTTCAGGTATATACTTTAGAGAAATGAAAACAAATGTACACATAAAACCTTGTCTATCAATGTTCAAAACAGCATTATTCTTAATAGCCAGAAAGTAGAAACAACCCATATTTCTATTAGTTGATGAATCGACACAGAAAATGAGGTCTATTGATACAATGGAATTTTACTCAGCCATAAAAAGGACTGAAGTACTGATACATGTTATGACATGAATGAACCTCAAAAGCACTGTGGTAAGTAAAAGAAGCTACGCAGAAAAGACCACATGTTGTGTAATCCCATTTACATGACATATCCAGAATAGGCAAATCTATAGAGACAAAGTAGATTAGTGGTTGAGTGTTATGACAGGGGGAGGTGATAATAATGAATGACTGCTAATGGATGCACGTTCTCTTTTTAAGATGAAACAAATGTTCATAAATTAGATTATGGTGATGGTTACACAACTCTGTAAATATATTAAATATCATTGAATTGTATTCTTTAACTTGGTAAACTTTATGATATATAAATTATGTCTCTAAAAAGCTGTTAAAGTAAATTTTATATCTATAATTTGTGTGAAGACATTTTTCTACCAAAGGTAAAAATCCAACAATTATAATGAAATTATAAAATTATAAAAAACTAAAGCAAAATCAAGACACCAACAAAACAAATGCAACATGCCCATAAAAATCCTCTATCCCTCATATGCAAAGAATTCCTATAAAAATATCAGAAAATAACAAACAACCCAATATAAAATGGGAGAATATTATAAACAAGAAAGTCAAAGAAGAGAAAATGCAATGTCCAAAAACATAAGATGAGCAAACTCAGCTGTCTAAAAAATGCAAATTAAAACAATGAAATTTACCATTTTTATCCATTAGTTTGGCAAAAAGTAAGATGAGCAATAATACCTAAGACTAATTAGGATATGGAGAAAGTGATACATTGCTTTCCAAATTGTTAATTGTTACAACTCTTTTGGAGTATCTAGTAAAATTTTAAACACGTAAATCTCACATTGTGGGGGTTGAGCCAAGATAGTGGAGTAGACAGACTCACAGCTCACCCTCTCCCACAAATACACCAAGAATTACATCTACAAACCCACTGAATCGCACAGAACACCTACTGAACTCTGGCAGAGGGTCTCTTGTTTCAAAATACAGGAGGATTCTCACAAAATCCGATAAACAAGAAGTTTATACTGTATAGAACAGGGAACTATATTCAGTATCTTGTAGTAACTTATGGAAAATGAATATGAAAATGAATATATGTATGTTCCTATATGACTGAAGTATTGTGCTGTACACCAGAAATTGACACAATATTGTAAACTGACTATACTTCAATAAAGATATATATATAAATTTAAAAAAGCAAACCCAATTAATAGTCTATTAAGATTTATTTCAGGTAAAAAAAAACCCACCCATATTGTGAAATCTTATGTAAAAAAAGCACTAAAAACTTATGTATATATGTATGTAACACACACAGAGGAATGTTTGTTACAGTACTGCTTTTAAGTACAAAACCCTGGAACCAGTCTGGATGGCTATCAATTGAATAAGATTTAGTTATCCGTAACTGTTATGGCAAATGTATACTACAGAATGTTATGCATCTACTAAAAAGAATGAGTTAGGTCTATATGTACTAACTTGGAGTGGTGTTCACGATATAATCTTTAGGAAAAGAGTTGCAGAATAGAGGGTGCAGTGTGATTCTATCTTTGTAAAAAATAATGTGTGTGTGCTGTTTACTGCCTTTCTCCTCCCCCGGGATATGCTCTGATGAAGGAGAAGATTTTTGCCTATTTTGTTTACTGCAGTATCACCTGTGCCTAGAATAGTGTCAGACACCAGTAGTAGGTGCTCAACATTTTTTTTAATTCAATGACTGGGCAATTGCTTGTCTATTTTTGTAGGAGCAAGAAGAGAGTGGAAGGGTCCCCTCCAGGCTATTAATCTCAGTTGCTTCTGAGAAGTTGCAGGAGAGAAGATCATTAACATTTTCTTTATACATCTTTGTTTTGTCTCACTTGTTAACAATAAACATATTCATTTTATAATAAAAAAGTATTGAAAAGATCATGTTAAAGGGAGAAAAGGAAGATAAGCTATGAATGCCATCACATGGAGAGACACACTCAACTCTTGTCACGTACACCTCTAGGTAGAGGTGAGACCAAGAGGCAAGAGCAGACTAGGTTGTTTCAGGGCAGAGAAAGCTGGAGCTTACGGGATGAGGTGGGTACACAGACTGTCTTTTCCTTACATTCAATTAGGGCCTGTTCGTGCATTCTGACTGCTTTATCCATCTAAAGAGATGTATCAATTGAAAATTGCTGCTCTTGGTTTAATGAGCACATTCACAACTGGTGAATGGAACTATTTCCATTTTGTTTATACCAATGAGTAACCAATAAGTAGCTTTCTTCACTCACAGACACTCTGGTTCTACTTCCAGACTTCACTCTTAATCACTCTGGACCGCTTCTACTTGGTCACCAGTACCAGAGCTCAGAATTCTCCTTAGAGTATACACACCTTTGGTAAAGAGGCCTTAAGCACGTTGCATTAGTTATTTGGTACTGGAAAAATCGGGGGGTGGTACCAGAACTCATTCTGATGTAAGCTCCTCGATTGCTACCTTCTTCATAATAATTAGATGCCGAAAATATAGTAATAACCTAGTTAAAGAAAAAGAGTGTTAGGTTCATATAGAGTTAGTTCTCAAAAGGTTCTTCAATAAAGCCAGAAACAGCTCAATTGTTAAAAAGCAAAAATCAAACAAAGTTCAAAATCCATAAAAATTATCCAAGACTGATAGGATTTCCTGTGATTCCATCCCAAGAGAAACAAGGCTTTTAAATCAGGGTCCCCAGGAGTATTACCTTCTAGCCACTCACCCCCACAGTGCATGGCCTTGCAATCCTGTGTACAATTTCACTTCCATATCTTAGAATTCTCCTTAATGCTCAGTTTTATAAATTCTAATTTTCAAAGAGGGGAGGGTAAAGCCTTTATTTTCTTTTCTTGCGATATTTGAGCATTTAAAATAAAACTTGTCTAGTATCACAGTTGTCTTCTTTTCCTTATAGCTGACTTATTCAGAGGATCCAGGGGCCCCACAAAACCAGTGCTTTGATGTCAGAGAAATAGTGGCTAAATAAGGGACCATGACCCCTCTGTGGGGAAGGAACCAGTCTTGGGGTAGAGGATGGGAGAGTGATACTTGTCAGTGTGTAGGCCCAGTGTGTAGGCCTGGTGTAGGCCCAGTCCTGCCCTAATGAGCATGTCACTGCTATTTTCTATTTTCTTATTACAAAGAAACCCTAAATAACACTTGCTTAACCATCTCGCAATGTTAGTATGAGCTTCCAATGGACTAAAATACAGCTAAGAAAGGCAAAAGTGTTGAAAGAGAAAGAAATGCAATGCAATTTGGTATTCCTTTGTGTGTGTGTGGGGGGATTAGGTTTGTTGGTTTGTTTATTTTTTTTCAAATGGAGGTACCAGGGATTGAATCCAGAATCTTGTGCATTCTAAGCATTGCACTCTACCACTGAGGTATTACCCACCCCTGGTATTCCTTTTTAATTACTGCTGTTCACTATGAGAAAAGAGGAGCACTCCTAGGATAACTTGGGACCAGAAACAAGCTCCTCAGTCCTCACCTCTCTGGCCTTTCAGACATCACTGAAGAAGAGCAATACACTCCATTTTAGTGGCCGCAGCAAAACAGCCCACAGTGAGGGGCTTGCTAGAGATCACCTACTCAGTGAATAGAACGTAAGTGTGTTTTGTGGCTCTGCTCTGCACAGGGAAGGTGCAAAAGGTGAAAAGGTGAAAGAGAGCAAACTGGATTCACTGCTGCCTTTCTGTGTGCTGTGAGAATAAGTACATTCTTAACCCTACTCCCAAAGACTTGCCTTGTGATTAGTACAGAACAAAACCTTCCTGTGTGTGTACTCACTGTTATGTGTCAGAGTTTCTATCTCTGGATTAGGGAAGATCAGGGAAATAAACCAAATATCTCTTAGGGTGAGGGACAGTGAGGCCCCTTCAAACAACCTCTGTGAACCCGACAGTCTCCTATTTCTGTCTACCAAGCGTGGCGTTCTGTTTTGGGCCTAGGGAAGACATCTTCCCATGGGCAGAGAAGTCAGACACATCCTGTGAAGAAAGATTATGCTTGGGGGAAGGATGTCTGTGATGATGTCACCAATATTTTTAGCTTACCTTCCCATCGTGGCAGATTTCATACCCTTCGGGTTTACATTCATGAGACCTAACGAGCATCTTCAACTGGTATTTATTAAGAATCTTGGAGGTAATATCTGGTCCAAAATAGCAGCCCCCTCCTCGACTTGTGTTTGGGTAACAGCCTCTTTTGCCTCTGGGATCACTCCACAGAATATCGATAACCTTGGGACAACAAACCAGATTACGTTGCCACTTACACGTGAGAGCTTATCTTTCTAGATTCCAACTTTTTTCCAGAAATATTAACCAAACTTATCGCAAAGTCTCACTATTTCTCTTTCTTCCTTCAAAACTGTTTCATACTCATCTCCTCCACAAATCTTTTCCAGAATAATTTTCATGCCCATAGCCACCACAATCCTTTTCTGCTCATCCCCAATAACCAATGTAGCAATGATGATAACCAATGTAGCAATACTTAGTAATCATAAAGAATCAGCCCTTGGGCTTTTTGTTTCTTAAAAAATTCCATTGCAACTATTTCACAATTGCTGACTCTACAAAGGTCTTTTCTCTTAAAAAGAACTTCACCATCATGTTCAAAGGAGAAAGTAGTTCCCTACAATGAACACATATCTGATGTCTTTAATATGTTCAAAGAGATAAGGTAGGTCTCCTAGCTGTGGTTTTGGCCCTGCTTTTTGTCCTTTTGAGTACATAGCATGAGGAAGCCTTTTCCTCATCACAAATATAGACAATTGTTTATCTGAGAATAATTTCTACAACATTTCCTTCATATTTTGCTCCCCTTGATAAGGGGAATTCCATTCTCAGTTTCAGCAGCACATTTAGCCACTGACTGGTTTCCACAATATGTTCTCTTAAATCCACAAGTATGTTATTAGCATAACATTTCTTTTGGGGCTTGAAAGAGGCAAAGGCAGGCTATAAGATGCTCAGGACTGAACACTCAAGTTTCTAAGAATTTTTTCATAAAAAATTAGGGGCTCCCTGTTTGTAGCTCTGACCTACATATAATGTTTCTTTATTTAAACATCTCCCACAGGAACTTAAGCAGTAGTGTGAAAAATTAACTTTGTAGCTAAAGCTATATGCAACCTTGAGAAAAGTCCCTGGGTCTCTCTTTAAAATCAGAGGTTTGGGGCAGGTGACTTGTAAAGTATCTCAAAGTTCTAATAGATTATGATTCTAAGAGTCTATATTTTCCACATGTTTCTTTGGAGGGCATGAAGAAATGCATTTTAAGTTTTGCAGGTATTCTAGTGGGTCCAAATCAGATCTTAAAAAGAAAACCAGAAATGGTTGTCCCACTAAGCCTGACTGTACCCCATTTATAGGTTTGGTATTGAAGGGAAGCTAAAAATAAGTGAGGGGAAAGACAGTGGAGAGACCAGAACTGGTAAGAGAACTGTCCTGGAATGCTAAGCACCTGATCAGAACTGGAGAAACCCTGCACCATGCACATTCCAGACACTTGCAGGTGACTGATTTTTTTTGATGACTGATCGAAGTGAGAATTAAAACTACCTACAGAAGACAGAGATCAGGATTCTCCTTTCTCCCTTGCTGAATTCGAACGTTGGCACAACCCTACCCTACAAGTAAATACAATGGAACCCATATTACTCTGCTGATGCTAATAACAAAAACAACCCTTGCATTTGAAACTGAGCCATATCTGGATCTTACAGCATGAACTCATGTTTGGGAGACATGATTTGACCTTCAGTATAATGAGAGAGAAAACATGGAACACAAGGAGATGTGTTTTATAAGGAGAGGATTAAGTTTTAAATTCCTACATGAGATGCAAGTCATTTATAACCAAAATGACCCCTGGAAAATCTTTTAAATTACTCTCTAAGTACAGAGTACATGATTTTGTATATTCAACCCTATACAGTCATATGGATATGTCAGTATTTTATATATGTGATAATGTACAACACATGATAAATTATATGAAACTAAAACTTTAGACTTTTTTCTCCTTTTTCCATATGTACATAGTTGAAATCTACATAAATTAAATGTACATATGATGGAACCATGTTGAACTAGAATAAGCACTGGCCACATAGTTATTTTAGCTCAAGTGTCACCTGTGTCACCTTCAACAAATCACTTAACCTACTGGGGCCTTAGCTGACTCCTCAATGAAATGAGTAAGATACAGCTAACATTCATTTTCCTTTGATTCAAAGTCATAAGGGGTATCAGTTTTATAGAAGTAAGCGTCTTCAAAATCATCCATGCTAGAAGTTCTGCATTTCTTTTCTCTGACCAGAATTCATTCACTTACCTAGGTTTACCCAGACAGTAACCACAATATAGGTTTAATTCGGAGGCTCACAAACAAAAAATTCTATAAAAGGCCCTTTGTTAGTGAAACAAAATCCTCAGCAGGGACAAATCTCTTCCCTCTCAACAACATCCTTTCCTCTGAAATGCAAGGGCCTTTGTGGTAAGTGTATCAAAGAATAATCATTTACAACATTCTTTCCTGAAATGTTTCAAACCAAAAATTGATATAAAAGCTGAATGACAGCTTTTATATGACCTGGTCAACAAAAATCTATTTGTGCCTCAGCCTTTAAACTTCCTAAATCCAAAATAAATCCCACAAGAAGTGTCCCATGCTTGTCTACAATTTTAAGTAATCCAGTTTCCAAAAGTATGCTTTGGGGAAGAGAGAACAGCTCTGAAAGATGTATCTAAATGCTTCTCTTCTAAGACACTAATACTATAGATTCACCATTCTTTGTATTTTCCTTTAGTTGTATGTCCTCTTTCCAGTTTTTGAACATGTCGTCTTTAACACTGTGCTCAGCCCAAACCTTCCAGCCAAGTACATATATTTCTCTAGATGCCTATTCCTTGTCTACCCATTGCCTCACTGGATGAGGGGAGAGTAGAGTAGTTCATTTCCTTCTTGAGACCTCTGATCACTCTTAAATCATCTCTCCCTTCAGAAAAAGAACATGGGCATTAGAGTCAGACCTGGGATGAAATCCTGCTGTATCATTCAGTGATCAGCCAAGTGACTACAAAGAAGCCATTTCACTCTTGGGAGCCTTCTCAATGAAGCTGACTGCTCTATTTAAAATTGCAATTCTGTCGCCTACCTCCAGTTCTCAGTTTCCTCTAACCTTGTTCTAATTTTAATTTTTTCCATTAAACTTCTCATTTAACATATATAATTTACTTGTTATTACTATACAATTATATGTGTAATGTTACATATATAATATAATTATATACATTATTTAGCTCCTCCCCCTAGAACATAAGCTCCATGAGGTAACAGATCTTTGGTCATTTACATTTTCAAAAGCCTAGAACAGTGCCTGACACATAGTAGGTACTCAACAAGTACTTGTTAAATGAATTAAGAGAAAGGAGTCACTTAGGATATAAATAATTAAAATTATTTTTCAAACCTTTCCAGCCTTCTTGTTGCAAGTCTGTCCTAAAGAAAGAGTATCACACTTGTCTCCATACAATGACTCAGCCATAACTACATATATCCCCCATATCTTAGCAAACATAATATAAAATTTAAATTGTAGCACTCTACCAAGAACTATGCACTTAACATGAGTATGGAACAAATAAAGAGCATATGACCTTTATTGCAATATAGTTCATAGATATTAAGATATAAAGTAATTGTGAAATCTATTTTTATCTGGAATTTTCAACTCTAGCTAACTAAAGTATGCATGCCCACAATATACTGGGAACTAAGGAAAGAAAATTAAAGGTACAAATGAAGTTATTAAAATACTGGGAATGAGATTCTGGTCAATTTCACCCTGTGTCAGCTCCAGTCATGTACATTGGTCTGTAAGATGATTCATCTGTATTGTTCGGGTGAGGCGAGGTTATATTATAGAATAATGACCCCCAGTTTTCTCCCTCCCGCTTCTTAAGGATCCATCTCTCTATAATTCTAACTCATCCAGGCTTCCAGAGGCCATGATTTTCTTCTCGTGCAACTCCAATCTCTTTGGCATCATCCATTTTATTTACCATAACCTTTGGTCTTTGAGATTTGGACATCAAAACTTAAGGAGGCATCCTTTCTTACTTGCTGTGGGATGCCTCTTACACTTATTTGATTCTTAAATACTATGGATGCACAAGCCACTGATGAATTCTATTTCTCTCTTACTCCCTCCCTATCACGCCACCTCTCTTTCTCCTCATTGATTAGAGTATATTTTACATCAGAAATCACATTTTAGTCAACATTTTTAGCAATCAAGGTATGAGTACAGAATCAAGAAATAGAAGCTCCTTAGGGGTAAGAAATTAGAAGAAGACTAGTAATTTCATAATAATAGTAGAAAGAGAAGACCAGCTAGAAGTTTAACTGATAGAATCATGGAAAGGAACAAATGAGGAAGAACCTTCTTAGGGCCAGAATAAGCCTCCTAGATTGTCAACACCCTCCCCCTGCAAAGGAGCCCAACTTTAATGGGATCAGATTATGGAGCTATTTGTGAGCCCCAGGGCATTATTAAAAACAACAGTGCAATCAGCTAGCAATTAGTGAAGGCTAATAGCTGGGTCTGATACAAAAAGGGGCAGATGGGCCAAAGCTTAAAGGGGAAATCAGGGAAAGAGACAGTCACTCAGGGAAACTGTGCACATGCCCAAGTCAGCACCCTGTGTGGAGTGACATCAGGGGCTACAACCCAAGAGGGAATAGACTTCACTAATCTAGTCCAGACAAGCCACTAAACAAATAAACGAGCAAAAAAGACAAATAATAACAAGCCCCAAAGGAGCACAGGAACAATTAGAGTTACTGTAATATTTACCTAAAATGTCCAGTTTTCTACAAAAAATTACAAGACATACAAAGAAAAAACACAAGGGAAAAATAAGCAGACAATAGAAATTACCTTTGAGGGTATAAGAAGTTGACTTAGCAGACAAGGATGTCAAATCAATTATGATAAATGTATTCGAAGACAGATATATATAAAACACTCCATTCAATAAGAACAGAATACATTTTCTTCTGAAGAGCACATGGAGCATTTTCCAAGATAGACCATATGGTAGGCCATAAATAAAAAGTCTCAATGAGTTTCAAAAGCATTTAAATCGTGTAAAGTATATTCTCCAACCACAACTGAATTCAAGTCAAAATCAGTAAGAGAAGGAAATGTGGAAAATTCACAAGCATGTAGAAATTAAACAACAAATTTCTAAATAACACATGGGTTAAAGAAGAAATCACAAGGGAAATTAGAAAATACTTTGAGATGATTGCAAATGAAAGCACAACACAGCAAAACTTTTGGGATGGAGCTAAAGCAGTACTTACAGGTAAATTTATAGTTTCATTAGAAAAGGGAAAAGAGCTCAAGTCAATGACAGTACTTTTCACCTTAGGAAACTAGAAGAAGAAGAGAAAACTAAATCTATAACAATCAGAAGGAAGGAAATAATAAAGATTAGAGCAGAAATAAATGAAAGAGATAATACAAAACAATAGAGAAAAGTTAATAAAACTGAAAGTTGGTGCTTTGAAAAGACCAATAAAATCAACAAACCTGAGAGAGACTGACCAAGGAAAAAAAGAGAGACTCAAATTACTAAAATTGGGAATAAAATACAACATATCACTATCAACCTTACAGAAATTATAAATATACATTATACATTATACATTATACATTATATATATATGGGAGGAGAGAGAGTAAGAGAGAGGAATACTACACACAATTTTAGGCCAATAAATTAGATAAATTTGATGAAATGGACAAATTTCAAGGAAGACACAAACTACTGAAGAAGAAATAGAAAATCTGAATAGAACTATAGTAAGAAAGAAAATTGAATTAGTAATTTTTAAACTGCCTACAAAGAAAAAAGCCCAGGCTCAGATAGCTTCACTGATTAATTTTACCAAACATTTGAAGAATTATTATCAATCCTTCACAAACTCCTTCAAAAAAATAGAATAGCAGATAATGCTTCCCAACTCATCCTATGAGGTTAATCTTATACTAATACCAAAGACATCATAAGAAAGAAACCTACAGACCAATACCCCTTATGAATATAGATGTAAACATCCTCAAAAAATAGCAAAGTGAAGCCAGCAACATATTAAATGGATTACACATGATAATGAAATAGGATTTATCCCAGAAATATAAGGTTGCTTTAACATCTGAAATCAACCAATATAATACACTATATTAGTAGAATAAAGGACAGACAATACATGATCATTTCAATAGAAGCAGAAAAAGCACTGGACAAAGTCCAACACTCTTTTGTGATAAAAAACACTCAAGAAAGTAGGCACAGAAGAGAACTTCCTTAATCTGATGAAGGGCAACTAATATAGAAACAAACAGCTAATATACTTAATGGTGAAAGACTGAATGCTTCCCCCAAATATTAGGAATAAAACAAGGGTGTCTATTCTCACCACTTCTATTTAACACTGTGCTGGTGGTTCTGGACAGGGCAATTAAGAAAGAAAAAGAAATAAAAGACAGCCAGATTAGAAAGGAAGAAGCAAAATTATCTCTATTCACATGATAACGTGCTCTTGTACATAGAAAGTCCCAAGGAATTCACTAAAAAATGTGAGAATGAATAAATAAGTTTATCGAGGTTTACAACACAAAAGCAGTAAGTAAAAGTCAATATATACCAGCAATGAACAATCTAAAATGTAATTAAGAAAACAATTCTATTTTCAATAGCATCAAAAATATTTAGGAATAAATTAGGAATAACTTTAATAAAACAAGTGCCTCAGTGTACATGATTACAAAACACTGTTGAAATTAAATATCTAAACAAATGGCAAGACATCCCATGTTCATGGAAGTGAAGAAATAATATTGTTAAGATTACAACAGTACTTAAATTGATCCACAGATTCAAGGCAATTCCTACCAAAGTCCTAGCTCTTTTTTGGTAGAAATTGACAAGCTGATCCTAAAATTCATATGGAAATTCAAAGGACCCAAAATAGTCAAAACAAACTTGAACAACAAAAATAAAGATGGAGAACTCACACTTCCCAGGTTCAAAACTTTCTACAAAGCTATAGTAATCAAAACTGTATAGTACTGACATTAAGGATAGACATACAGATCATGAAATAGAAGTGAGAGTCTAGAAATAAACCTTCATATTTATGGTCAATTTATTTTTGATAAGGGTGCCAAGAAAATTCAATGAGAATAAGTCTTTTTAACAAATGGTGGTGGGATAACTGGGTATCAGCATGCAATAGAATGAATTTGGAAACCTACCTCATATCATACACAAAAATCAACTCAAAATGGATCAGATACCTAAATGTAAGAGCTAAAACTATAAAACTCCTAGAGAAAACATAGGAATAAATCTTCATGACTTGGCTGGACAATAGCTTCCTAGATACAACACCAAAAGCACAAAGCAAAAGCATTTCTTTTACTCTAGTTGAGTAAAAGAAGCCAGAGACAAAAGATCACATACTGTATGGGTCCATTTCTATAACACGTCCAGGAAAGACAAATTTACTAAGACCAAAAGTAGATTAGTGGTGGCCTAATTCTGTGGAGATGGAGGTGGGGGGTGGGTAGAGAATGGGAAGTGACTGGTAATAGGTATGTGGAGTATTTTTTTCCAGGTGATGAAAAGGTTCTAAAATTAGATTGTGGGGATAGTTGTACAACACTGTGAATATACCAAAACCCATTGAATTATATACTTCAAATGAGTAAATGACATGGTATTTGAATATTTCTATTAAGCTATTAAAAATATAGTATTGGATTTAGAGAGAAGGATATGAGCTGCATAGAAAGGTAAGTCACTTTTTATCTATATGTTATAAGGGACAACATCATTTATGCTGCATCTCTGTTGCCACTTTGGTGAATGGTTTGATTACTCACCTGTTCCCATTCATGCTTTGTTAATTGTTCAGAAAAGGATCCGTCTGTTTTCATTCCCAAAGCCGCAATGGCTTTACCTGCTTTATTTTTCTTCTCAGTAGCACGGTCTCCATCTATTGGAACTGGTGACATCAGCACAGATTTCATCTACAAAACAAATTCATGCTTTAACCAAACCCTATGCTTAGTGTGCTGCATGCAGAAACTTCAGCACTAGTTGCTATTCTGTCTATAATGTTGTGCCTCGACCCAATGAAAACCACATGGTCACATTTTCCATCTCACCAACCTCCTTCATCTTACTGATCCACTGATCTCTATACAGTGGGCCTGTTAAGTTCGATTTGTACATTTTTCAACTAGAGACACTGTCCTACAGGGAAGGTTTCCCATTAGAGTTTCTAAAAGACCTCAGAGGCAAAGATGTCAGTGATAGACATGTTCCACAGCATCATGATAGAAATGGAACATGCTAAGGGAAAACTATTCTCCCTCTGAGCCTTTATCTATACATGGTGCTAAGAGAGAACCAATGGGCTTTGAGTTCAGAAACACCTCTTAAGAGGGTGGCTGCATTTCCTTTTGTTGTGTTTTCCAGGAAAAATGAGAGAAAGTACATCTGTGTCCAGAGAAGTTTGCAAAGGAGACATAAGTTGAAAACCTTGGAAGCCCTTCAACTTTAATGCAGTAGGTTTTCAGTCTGACCTGCCAGCAATTGAATACATTCTCTAATTCTAGTAACAAAGGTGATGTATTTCTTTGGAAATAAAATGTCTTTCTGATAGTACATCAATTTCTATAACCCTTTCTACATTCCCTTACATAACTTGAGGCCATAATTTTATATTTGTCTCTTTGTAGCACCATACTTTTATTCAAAACAATTTGAAACAATACTTCTATTACATTGGTAGCCTTAGTTCAGTGATGGACAATTCTCTGTGGTAGGCACTTAAGTTTCCTCTATGAACTAGGGTGTATATAAAATCTTACCTTTATTTTTCAAAAATAATTCTGAGGTCCTGTCTCACTGAGATGGTTAGAAATTCAATCTCAGCTATTAGTGAGTTTACATCCTACCTTCCCTGTCCCCATCCAGCAAATGTACCCAGGTCTTAGGCAGAGCAGAATATTCTGAGAGGACACTCTAGACTTGGGTCCACACAACTCACTTCTGATAAGCTCATCAGGCAAGGCCACAGTCTCTTAAGTACATGTGGCTCCATTGTCTTTGAGGCCACTTGTGATCAGGATACTTTGCTCAGCCCTTGTGAAGGCACCACATTATCATTTTCTCCTGGGGGGTCCAACCAGCCATCCCTTCCTACACCCTCTGCCAGGGAGTTTGAAGAATACTAAACCAGAGTCTTAGTCTTACAGAATTTTCCTTCTGTATCCCTCTGTACTGACCACCCACCCCCAACCTGCCCACCTTACAAAATACCTTTAATGAACTTAGAATGGAGGTTGTCATCAGGCTCCCCCAACCCTACCCTTCTCCTATTAACAATTATACCACAAGAACAGGCATAAGCCAGGGTGCATGGTCACCCCTACACTTGAAGGATTCTAATGGATGGGAAAGTGGGGGTTATATATTTGAGCTTGAAAGTCTGTTTTTGTACCTCATCTCATAGAATTCTAAAGGCTTGAACCTACTACTTTCATTACAGTTCAATTATATTTAATGCCACAAGAATGTGCTACCAGTTCAACTTCACTCTAGGAGGTGTAGACAAAAAATATACAAATCAAATTTCTATCTTTAAAACTAGCCTTATCAGTAAGTGGAACAATGATCCCCGAAGCATGTGAAATCTGACATATCCTGGGAAAATTTTCAGCTCCAAAATTTCTCCCCAGGGTCTGTCTTGATGATTGAAATTCAAACCTCAGTTTCAAGTATCAGGAAAAAGAGCAGAGAATAGGAGAAGAGGGGTTTATGTTCAGAGTTTACACCATTTTCTTCATCTAGGTAATTAGATTTAATCCTCCCCAAAGTTCAATATGGTAGGTATTTTTAGCTTTAGTGTATAGGTATAGAAACTGAGGCTGAGGAAACTTGGGTAACTTGTGCAGTCACCCAGCCAGGAAGTGGCAGAAGCAGGATGCAATGTCAGCGATATCTGTCTGATGTCAGAGTTTCATGGTGTTTTAATAGGTTAAGGTGGCTCTCAATTTAGGATCTCCGCAGAGATAGTAATGGGCATTCCAGAGACATGCTCTTAATAATTCAAAAAGCCCTGGCTGGCTTCTCAGGCTAACCTCAGGAAAGGAAAAGTTTTCAATCTGATCAATTGGTTGTGGCGGCCATGCTGATTAGCGCTGTTGTCAAAGGGCAAGTAGTGGTGGAGAGTTGCATTCCTGCCATGTGCTTGCCAATATTTGACTGACAAAAACATCATGTTCCCTTGCTCTTGGCTAGAATCATATCCACTCATTATGTTAACATTGACTATCTCATGTTGGTCAAAATATCTTATTGGCTTCACTATTTGCTGATATCATGAAAAAGATGCCTTAAACTAAGGTTGCCTTAAAATTTATTGCAACTGGGATACTTCTGACAGTAAAGGGAGGCACTATTAATAACTACACCAGACAACAGGTGTAAACCAGGAAGTATGGTCATCACTGGGTGAGGTTGGGGAGGGGAGCATGTAAAATCACCACAGAATCAGAAAAGGGATTATAAAAAGTTTTTACCCAGTTTTACCTTAGGTTTGTCCTACTTTGGTCTTAAATCTCTTAGGAGATAGTCAACAAACGTTAATTAATACTTACTACATCTTAGGTGCTGGGATTATATCAGTGAACTAGAAAAGCAGGGAAGGATGGTAAACAAACAGTACCACAATTCTTTGTTTACCTTGGTAACTGATATGAAGGATATGTACAAGGGGCTTGAGAGCATATAAAGGGGACCTAATCTAGTCGAGAAGTCATGGATGGCTTTCCAGAGGAGGGGTACATTTAAGCTGAAATTAAAAGGATGAGAAGAAGCTAGCAACAATCTTATCATTCACACATGTAAAAGGTATAAGGGCTCCAAAAACTCAAGGTAAATAGGGATCACATTTCTGTCTATATCAAATTAAATTCCAGCTCTAGATCCTACTTGCCTAGATTGGTTAGAAGTTGATTATCAGTCCTGAGGGGTAAGAGTTCAGGTTTCTCACTAGGACCACCTGATTATCTGGCTCCAGAGTTGCTCAGGCCCACATGGCACCCCCTATACCCTAGTCTTGGAGCTTTGGGTGGGCTCTGGTACAGGAGGAAGACAATTTCAGTCACTCTGCAAGGCCAGCCAAAGAAGCCTTTCACTAAGTCTGGGATCTTTACAGGCCCCACACAGTCACTTCACTCAGAGGTTCTGTCCATATTCCTGCTCTGCTTCTGCTGTATTGAATATGGTGACTTAGATTTAAATTATTAAAATATCCTCCCCCACCCGCAAATTACCCTGAGCCATTGGGAGTACATTTTAAGGGAAATCATATCCATTCAGAAATCGTTTGCTTATGACTCCACTTCTATGAGGCACCTAGAACAGTCAAATTAATAGAGATGGAAAGTAGAACGGTGGCTGCCAAGGGCTGGGGAAGGGAGAATGGGGAGTTAGTGTTTAATGGGTAGAGTTTCAGTTTGGGAAGATGAAAAGTTTTAGAAATGGATGGTGGTAATAGTGGTGATGGTTGTACAACAATGTGAAAATATTTAATGCCAATGAACCATATACTTAAAAATGGTTAAACTAGTAAATCGTATGTTGTGTATACTTTACCACAATATTAATTAATTAGAAGTTTTAACTTTTAAAAATCGGGATTTTTCACGTTTAGAAAGTATATGAAATGCCAACATTTCTTCATTTTCCTACTTTCACCAAGAATTTTTAAAAATATATATTCCATACATAGAAATTATCCACTTAGTTCTTTATCATACAATCATAGATTTTCTTAAAATTTGTACTAATCTTTTCAGAGTTACTAAAATACAAATCAATACAAAATAATAAATGAAGGGAGGTACATATCCCTTTATAAATCTCTGAGACAAGATTCATGCAAACATTGCTTCTTACTTTGTTTCTTTCTATACGGTGGAGTAAATTCAAATCTGTGGACTCTGATATCCCTCCATGTATAACCAGGATTTCATTGTCAATGATTGTACCAATTGGAAGCCAGGTATAGACGTCTTCCAAGATTTGTAAGATTTTTTTTCCATGTAGCTGTAAGTAAGAGGTTGCGTAAGTCAGTTTTTCTGATAGGTTCAAGTTAATTGAATAGTCCCAACATACAGACAAAAAACAACAGTTTTCCTGACACCCAGAGAAGCTCAGGATGGAGTCACTAACCAACTAGCATGTATTAATCATGTCTTTTTATTCTGTATTTTTGATACTTTGACCTTTTGGTGCCTTGTTGACCCTGGAGAAGAGACTGCCCTTCCCAGGGCTAGCTAATTCCTAGAGATAGTAAATGACCTGCCTTTTGTATGTAAATAAGAGTGCCTTTCATATGCAAACCAACTGATCTAGAGCTAACACTCAAAAGTGAGTCCTTTATGGAGTTCTCACACTCAGGGCCACTATCACCCCAGGGCCAGGTACTAGACAACTTCAGACAACCCTTATGCCTCAGGGCCTGCTGAAATTATCCAAACTAGCCAATCCTAAACCTGTTTACACTGCTTCACGCAACCCTTCCCACAGAAACCACAATAAAGGCTCTTGCAGGTGTTTTCCCTCTTCTCTCTGCCTTTGACCTGCCCTGATGCTTCTCCATGTGCCCACTGCCCGGCCCAGTGCGGTGTGCCATGCCTCCCGTTTCTAAGGAACTGTAAGTACAAAACTTTTCCTACATGACAGTCATTTCCATCTGGGCATGTTTTACCATAACTGAGTAAAATAAATCTCAGGTACCTTTAAAACAATGGAATATGTTTATATCTATGCTGAAACTTACACAAAAATCACAATGAAAAAGCCTGGTTTAGTCCAAGAAAAAAAACAGATCTCTACCATGGTCAGGGCTTCATTTTGTGCTTTTATTTTATTGGCATGAATTCTGACTAGTTCTTCCATTACCCTTCTTGAAGTTTTTTTTTTTACTTCTATGTATAAACAGCAAAAAGAATGCAAAAAAAGTTGTTGAGTCTTACCTTATATTTATGCAAAATTTCTTTTGTGAAGCCATACCTGAAAAAAATGAGATTTAAACTATTTTATTAAATGTTGATAACTCCTACTTACATGAGTCATGCAAAAAAGGGAGCCTTGACATCACAAGTATCAAGAACTCAAGAAACCAGACTTTAGTTGGAAGTATTACTTACCCAAGTCTTTGCTAGGCATGATGGGAAAGAACAAACGCAGCTGATGACATCATCCCTACCCTCAAGGAGCTTAGAGTATACTTGGGAAAAGAAGATAAATTTCCATGGAACAATTATAAGGCAACTTAAGAAATATGTGGTTGGCACAAGTTGCATTAAGTATTGCTAGGATTCAGAGACGTATGCTGCGGCAGCTGGAGAAGGTGTGGGAGAACGCTTTTCATTTAGATAGAATTTCTTAGACATCCTATATCTTATAGTAAATGAATTATTGGCAAGGGGAGGGGGGAGAAGGGGGAAGACTGAACAAAGACAAAGAAAAGCCTAGAAGATAACAAGTTGGTTCTTTATATTCTCTCTGATATAGTTCATGTAATGGTATTGGAGGTTTTAATAGAAAGTGTCAGGAATTTTAATGCCTGAATGGCAAACACCAAGGAAGATTTAATGATGGTTTTTTTTTCAATTACTTTCCTTGCCTTAGGATAATAATATACACCTTTAACATCCAACACAGTGAAATTAGAACATAGCATACTCACTCCAGGCTTCCGTGCAGATCATGTTATGTGAAGCTTCTATAGTGTAACGCTATGTTTTCCAAGTTAAATTCAGTCCTGCCTACTCAACAGCACCTCAAATCAGCTTACCCCAAACTGAACTCATCATTCTCCCTCATCCCAACTTTCTCCTCTTATCATGTTCCCAATATTAGTGATAGTCCAAATTCAAGCTAGGCCCTGGAGGTCATCCTCAATTCTATCTTCTTTCAAGTCCTCCATACCACATAACTAAGCCTTAAATCACTGCCTAAACTCCTCCTGAATGTATCTACTTCTTTGGATCTCCATCTCTACCACCCGAGTCTAAGTGAAAATCCATCATCTATCTCTTCAACTACTTCCTAATTGATCTCTCCATATCCATTCTTGTCCCTCTCTAAATAACTCTTCCTGCTGCATTTTACAACACAAATTTTATGATACTCTTCTATAGTTTTCCCTTGTCCTCAGAAGAAAGTCCAAATTCCTTTGCATGATCCAGTCATTTCTTAGGTCTCTAGCCCTATCAGGTACCATCCTGTCCTTCAGTCTATGTGCCTACAATCCTGAATTTCTTTCAAGTCTAAAGTACTTTCTCAAGCTCTGCATAAGTTGTGTCCTCACTGTGGAATATTGTTTCCCATCTGCCTGCCATGGTCCTCTTTTTTTTTTTTAACATCTTTACTGTGGTATGGTTCCTGTACAGTAAACTACACATATTTCAGATGTACAACTTGATGAATTTTGATAGATGTATACACCAATGAAACCACTACCTCAATCAAGATAGCTAACATTTCCATCACTCCCCTAAGAGGTACAACTTTTGAATTCCCAATTTATCCCTTCCCATCCTCTTTACCCCCTGGTAATCATAAGTTTCTTCTCTATGTCTGTGAGTCTGTTTCTGTTTTGTAGATAAGTTCATTTGTGTCCTTTTTTAGATTCTACATAAAAGCAATATTATATGGTATTTTCTTTCTCTTTCTGGCTTACTTCACTTAGAATGATGATCTCCAGGTCCATCCATGTTGCTGCAAATGGCATTATTTCATTCTTTTTATGGCTGAGTAGTATTCCAGTGTGTGGGATCTTCATTACCCAGTCATCTGTCGATGGACATTCAGGTTGTTTCCATGTCTTGGCTATTGTAAATAGTGCTGCTGTGAACATTGGGGTTCATGTGTCTTTTCGAATTATATTTTTCTGCAGACATATGCCCAAGAGTGGGATTGCTGGATCATATGGTTAGTATATTTTTAGTTTTTTAAGGAACCTCCATACTGTCCTCCATAGTGGCTGCACCAATTTACATTCTCACCAACAGTGTAGGAGGTTCCTTTTTCTCCACACCCTCTCCAGCATCTATTTGCTTGTGGATGTTTTAATGATGACCATTCTGACTGGTGTGAAGTGATATCTCATTGTAGTTTTGATTTGCATTTCTCTAACAATTAGTGATGTTCAGCATCTTTTCATGTGCTTGTTGGCCATCTGGATGTCTTCTTTGGAGAGATGTCTATTTAGGTCTTCTGCCCAGTGTGTGATTGGGTTGCTTGTTTTTTTGTTTGTTTGTTTGTTTTTGCTATTAAGGTTTATGAGCTGTTTGTGTATTTTGGAAATTAGTCCCTCGTCAGTCACATTATTTGCAAATATTTTCTCTCATTACGTAGGTTGCCTTTCTGTTTTGTTGATGATATCCTTACCTGTGTAAAAGCTTTTAAGTTTAATTAGACCCCATTTGTTTATTTTTGCTTTTATTTCCATTACTCCAGGAACTGGTTC